CCCTCCGGGCCGCAGCGCCCGCCGGCCAGGCCGCTCACCCAGGAACTCCTGCTTCTCGCTGTCCGTGCGCAGCCCGTAGCAGCGCGGGAAGAAGGCGTCAGGGTTGGCCTGGACGTACCACGGCAGGGTCCGCATGTTCACGCACAGCCCGATCTGGGGGAGCGGCCGCCAGTCCTCGCCCGCTCGCCTGCGGCCCCCGGTCCTCCCGCCCGCCCACCTGTGGCCTCGCCTCCAGCCCGCTCGAGCCGCGGGCAGGCCTGGCGGAGCCAGGTCAGTGGTGGGGCAGGGTGGGGGCTGTGCCACCTCCCAGTCCCCAGCAGTGCACACGCACCCCCGGACCTCAGCCTGGAGGCCCCAGATGCCGGCTGGCGCTGCACCATGCAGCTCGCCCCCTGCGTGCTGGCAGCCACTCCCCACAGCGTTTCGGGGAGCCCCGTGACGGCTCCCCACAGGGCATGTGTGAAGGCTGGGCGAGGGGCTGCAGCCCAGACGGCCGGGACCCTCCGCCCACCCGTACCGGCCAGTCCTCCCTGCCCAGGGAGGGAGCCCTCCTGCTAGGGAAGCCCCCGGCCCACGGTCAGCGGCCACGCCGCGACTTCACCCCTTGGATAAGTGGGGTGTGGTCTCCTGGCAGGGCCTGGGGGCTCAAAGAGAGAGGGGCGTTGGGGGAGGCCTGTTGCCCGGCCCCGCAGAGCCCACGGCCACGGGGGCAGGGCCACGGCGGGCAGGGGCGTGCGGCAGCTGTGCCGCGGAGGCCCTGGGCCCGGCTTGCGTGGCCGGGCAGGGGCGCGCGAGGGGCCAGCTGGACACCGGCCCGGCGGTGGCCCCCGGTCACCTTGGTGGTGAAGGAGGCGGTCCTGCCGTAGTGGTTGAGCACCTGCTCGCCGCTCAGGCTGTGGTAGTCCACGACGTCCCTCTTGATGGTCCAGAGGAAGTAGGGCGTCTCGTTCCTGACCAGCCTGGACTGGCGAGAACAGGCCTGTGGGCACCAGCAGGGGCCGCCGCAGGCCGCGGTTCGGGGCGGCCGTCCCCAGGGCGGGGCGCCGAGTGCGGCGCGACAGACTGGAGGGCGCTGCTCTCACCAAGAGCCCCCCACACAGGGAGCCCCGGGAGCTGCCCTGGGCGCCCATGTGGGGCTCGGTTCGCGCGGCGGGGGCGGAG